ACTAGTGCTCCGAAAGAGTCATTCGGGTCGGGTTTGGGGTTAAACCCGTATTTGTTCGAACAAACTCGAGTTTGAAAATCTCTACTTGGGTATTATCAAAATTATCCGGTTATCCGGTAATTTAGTATAGCTCAATACAACGAAGTTAGGCAATTTTTTAAATTTGTTATATAACGTTAATGCTAAGACTAGATTTCAATCTATTGTTTTTATTTATATAACACTAATAGAAAGACTACATTTCAATGTTATTATTTGCAATTTAATTATTCAATCTATCGCATATAATGCTAATGCTAAGACTATTTTTTAATGCTACTATTTGCAACTTAATTATCGCATTTTATAATTACAATAATACGAAATTTTGCTTTATGCCCACCAGGACTTCAAACACATACATGCACGAATAGAGTCTGCCCCAAGACTGCATCTCTTAGCAGAAATTAAATCAGTTCCTCCGGAAAATACTCGCTCTACTGGGACGCTAGTTGCAGTAATCGCAAGATAATCTCTAGCCATCCTAGCCAAATTTGGATATTTAGTTTCATGCACTTCCCACCATTGAAGAATATCTTGCTTTCTCATTGCCCGAGGAGCTTCTAAATATAACTCAACTTCATTTTGTTGATCAATCCTTTGTTTTTTTCCATAAATATAATCTAAAAGTAAATCATCATTATTAACCATATCATCTTGATCATATTTAGTAGCTTCGTAGGAAGATGATTCGTAATTATTTTGATAGATTTGAAGAATAGTCGCTTTAATGCCATTGATAAAATCTCTATTCCAATCATTTTCTTCATAATAACCTAATTTTAGCCTTGGATCAAGAACAGTTGCGATAATATAAATAGCCGTATTGTTTGTTCTTGAATAATATGATTCTAACTTTATTAATCCCGCATTTACTGCAGTGATTATTTCATAAGAATGATTAAGATTATTGCGATGTTTTATGAGCTCATCAATTAAATAATTATATATTGGTATAATAGAAGCGAGCATTGGATATTTTGCTGATTCAATCATTTTAGTTGTTCGTACAAATATTTCTAAAATGATTACAACCTCTCTAATTTTGTCCCATTCATCAATATCAAGTTGTAATGATTGAAGATCCTTATCCAAATATGTAATTGCATTTATTGCTTCATGCATCTCTAGTGCTCGTACAAGCATTTCATACGTAGAATTCCATCTAGTCTTAATGTCCAATATAAGATTACAATTTTCAAGACCAGCAGCTTTAACTTGACGCATAAATCGTTCACGACGTTGTGGTGATGACCTAATTTTAACCACAAGTTTTCGAAGTTTCGGAATTATATCACCAGCCATTATAGGTGTGTTTATATTATCCAATATAGCATTTTCAGTTTGTGCTTCACCAGCCTTGAATTGTTTAAGGATATCTTGAACGACTAGATTTATGATATGTGCAACGCATCTACAATGAGATTCAACAGCATTAAAAGCAATATTTTCATTATAACATATATTTTCTAGATGTTGCATAAAAGTATCATTATTCGTAGCATTATCACTTGTAATTGTAAAAATTTTTGGTAAAATTCCAAATTCATGACAACTACTAACAAATGCATCACACAAATTCTCTCCTGAGTGAGGACCGTGAAGATTAATAAAGTCTAATAAAATACTTTGAAGCTTCCAGTCTTTAGAAATCCAATGCACTGTGATGGCAAAAAAAGAATAAATATTTGCTGATGTCCATACATCAACCGCAAATGAAAGCTTTCCTGGAGTACTTTGAAGTAAGAATTTTATATCAATACTTTCATCTTTATAACTTTTTATAATATTATTTCTAATCGTATCCCCTGTAGGAATAGTTGCAATTGGATTTAACAGCTTTATCATTTTTCGAAAGTGCTTATTTTCAACGGCTGTAAATGGCTGATTATCTAAGACTATCCATTTATTAAGTAACTTTCTAAAAGCTAATTGCGTAAACGTGGATAATTCTTTGCTTGATCTTGGATTACTATTTGGATGGTAACGTTCAAGATGACGCCAAAGATTTGTTGTACTAGAATCATCATTTTTGCGTAACCATGCTTTTCTTTTATCTTCAGAACAGAGAAGACAAACTATTTCTCGATGTGTACGTATTTTGGGATGTTCTGGCGGAAGATCTCTTTCCTCAAATAGACTTTCTGAAAAAAGCTTGCTACGTCTTTTTCTAGAGGGAGTTGCTAGATCATCATCATCGTTAATACTAGATGTGATAGAGACAAGTGATTGAAATTTAAGTTCGGTATCAGAAGTAACATGTTCAAGTTCATATTGAGCAGAAGTATAATTTTCAATTGAAGACATTGTTATTATTGATGAAAAATACGAAGGTAAATGTTTTCTAGAATTTATTTAAGTAGAGCGAAAAAATAACCAATCCTCTTTATTTTTTTCATATGCTTTATATACTCTACATTTAACTCAAATTGATTATATTAATTATATCATTTATTTAACTAATCATAACGATATTCAAATTAATTACATCATTTATTATTTATTTAACTAATCATACGATATTTAACTATCGCTGATTCTGACATACTTTTCATGCATATTATACTTTTACTATTGATTACCGGTGATCGGGTCGTGTGATGAATTTTCGGGTTTTATGCTCTGGAGTCGAGTACCCGGGTTTTTTGACCCCTTTCGGAGCACTA